ATGAAACTTGGGAGTGAAGTTTTGGTGTCATATGGTAGTTCTGTGAACTCTTGAGGATCTGCTGAATTGTCTTCGGGAGCAGCTGCACCTTTCACGTTTGCACCAGCGGTACACGAGGGTTCACATCCTCACCAGCCTCACCTGTTTTTCTCAGACTAGTATAACTATCCTAGCAGGTGGGAACTAGTATCTCATTGTGGCTGTGATTTGCATTTTTCTAATGATGGATGGTGTTGAGCATCTTCTCATGTGCTTGTTGACCACTTGCGTGTCTTCTTTGGGGAACCGTCTATTCAAATTCGTTGCCAATTTTTGAATTGAATTCTTCGTCTTTTTCGTTATCGAGTTGTGGTAGTTCTTTATATAATGTGGATACGAGGATACGATTTGTAAATATTTTTCGCATTCAGTCATTTGTGTTTTTACTTTCTTAATAATGTCCTTTGACAACAGAATTCTTCGTTTGACAGAGCCCACTTTACCTACTTCCGTGTTGTTCTTCCTGTGCTTTTCGTGGCATATCTGAGAATCCATTGCCAAATCCAGGTTCTCAAAAGTTTACCCCACTGTTTTTGTCTAAGAGTTTTGTAGTCCTAGCCCTTACATTTAGGGCACCAATACACTTAAAGTTAACTTAAATTAACTTCTGGATTGGTGTGGGGTGAGGGTCCATTCCTTTCTTTTGCGTGTGGAGATCAGGTTTTCCAAGCACCGTTTGTGAGAGAGTCTGTTCCTTCTGATGGGATGGTCTGGGCACTCTTGCTGAAGCCAACTGGCCATAAATGTGCACATTTACTTCCAGAGTCTCAACTCCGTTCCCTTGGGCTATACGTCTATCTTTATGCCAATGCTACACTGTTGGATTGCATTGTCTTTATGGTAAGTTCCGAAATCAGGAGGTGTGAGTCTTTTAACTTTGTTCTTTTTCATTGTTGTTTTTTTTTTTTTTTTGGCTATTTATAGCTTCTATCATTCCCATATGAATCTGAGAATCAGCTTTTCCATTTCTGCAAATGAAACCTTTGGAATTTTGATAGCAATTGTGCTGAATCTCTGGATTGCTCTGGTAGTGCAACCACCTTAATGGTATTAAATATTTCAATCTATAAACATGAGGTATCTTTCCATTTATTCAGTTTTTCTTTAATTTCTTCTAGCAATGCTTCACTGTTTTCATTATACAAGGCTCTTACTTCCTTAGTTGAATTTGTTCCTTAATATTTTATTGTTTTTCATGCTATTATAAGTGAAATTGTTTTCTTAATTTCCTTTTCAGGTTGTTTGTTGCTGGTGTATAGAAACACTTGTTTTTGTATTGATCCTGTACCCTGAAACTTTGCTGAATTCCCTGGTTTTTTATCGCAGAAAAAATATGGTATTCAAGAAGAAAGAGCTTCTCTAATTACAAAAGAAATTACTTATAAAGCTCTTGGATGAGATATTTTGTCCTTCTAGAGGGATTTTAGCATAGTCAGATAACACTTTTAATTAAACAACATGCAATAGCCAGAAAAGATAACCAAAGAAATGAGTGTCCTTCAAGGGACTGCCAGGATGGGTCATTTGTCATGTCTTCTTGTCCATTTCTTTAGGACCTGAGCCCAAATCTGGAGTTCCCTGTCCTGTTCAGGAAGTGCTCCAGGGCTCGCCAAAGTGTGGTGAATATTCATCTTCCTCAAACGTGGCAAGAAACTCCAAAATCTCATGGAATCCTCCTGAAACTACGCCCCTTCTCCTTCCGTAGTAGCTGAACACCTTTACCTGAATTGCCCATGATTCTCATCTGGAAGATTGTAAATTTTAAAGGAATCAGTCCTTCAGGAGGAGGTGTGTGTGTGTATATGAGGCATATATTGTGTGTGTGTGCACATGTGTATATAATATATATTAATGTATAGCTCTTCTTTAACAAGTGAAATTTGTTCCTGAAACCATATTAAAAGAATAATAATTACATTTTCAAACAGAAGAATCATATGCATTCTATCCTTACTCAGAATAACTGAACAATTTCCACAGATAGGAAGATAAATCCTCTAAAAAACAAAACAAATTTATATCAATAATAAGCTACAATTGATAACTAAACAATTTCCAGATAGGAAGATAAATCCTCTAAAAAACAAAACAAATTTATATCAATAATAAGCTACAATTTGAATGTAAATAAATAGTGCATAAAATGAAATACAATTGGGTTTTAATGCACTAATACTTCTTTCTCCTTCTACATCTTTTAATTTTTTCCAGAATCAATCCTTTAGAGGCAAAGTTATCTTGTGGGCAAACTATCCTTTAAATGTACAGTTACAGCACAAAAAAGAATCCTTTGGGCAAAATAAGGGCTGAACACCAGAGTGCTTTGGGAGTCCTGTGGGTGAAGCGTGCAGGCCACCAGGGGAAGAGTTGTATGGGAAGCCCCTGCTCATGGCTCCGGCCAGGTGACATCCACAGAGCAGCCAATCTTGCATCCATCCACAAGTGGCACTGAATTTAAATCTGTTCCATGTGGTATCCTCTGACTTAAGTAGTTGTGTCGAGACGTGGAGAAGGGTCTTTGCTGGAAGCTATAATGTCAAACTATCTCTTCTTATAATATATTCGTTGTGTTTGAGAATGAAAAGCCATTACATGGTAAAAAAATGATGTCTGAAAAGTGGCAACAGTTTTCAGGCATCATTATGGCTAAAAGACGTAAACTCAAAGTGGTTTTCATGAAGGAAGCCTGTGAATAGCAGGTCCTGCTACCGCTACCAGAAAGGCCAGGTGCCTCTGAGCGGGACCATGCAGGAGTGACCCTTGCGGGCTTGCGCCCACCCACTTTCCTGTAGGAGGCCTTGCAGAGAACCCGCGTGGAGCAGGAGGGGCCAGGGCAGCCTGAGCCAGACAGTTAACATCACCCCCACCTGGTGGAGGGCAGCGAGGGGCCAGGGATGCCCCATGGGCCTGACTCCTGGTGGCTTGTGGCCCAGACTTCTTGGCACAAGAGGCACAGGTGTCCCAAAGCTGAGGTCCCTGAGTGAGCTCTGCCAAGTCACATGCCAGGGAGCAGGGCCAACACACTGGTGAGGTGGGAGAGGGTCACCAGAGATATGCCAGTTGTTTTCAGCTCCTCAGTGGAAACACCAGGCAGTGGTTCCAGAAAGATCTCAAGAAGAGGGTCGGTATAGGATGCCTACCCTGAGCTAAGGGCCCTGTCTGAGCCTTCTCTCAGTCCCTAGCAGAATCCTCCAGCTTAGGTATCAGTGCATCTGTTTCCCATGGAGCTCATGTGACCGTGGCCCTAGGATGCTGAGCTGCAGCATCTGGTTTATCCCAACCCTGCCTCTCTGCAAGCCCATGTCCAAAAACACCAATGTGTGAAACACTGACTAATCGAGCAAACCTGCCTGAGGTTCTGGACCTGCAGAAACCACAGAAGGGACCACCTGCTCAGCCTACAGTTGGAAGACCCTGGCAGCCACTGTGACAATCATGAGTGTGGCTCTGTTCTGGAAGCTTCTCTCCTCCTGGCAATGAAAGATGCCAAGTCTGGATCCTTGGGAATAAGGATGTTGCCTTACTCCAACAAGGTGTGGGGTCCCAAAGAACGGCTGATGCAACCGAGCCGCCCGGGTGCCCTCCGGCTGGACTGCACACCTCCCCTCGGTCAGCGCCACCCCCAGCTGACCCCAGAGCCGCGGCTCACAGGTCACCCACTGAGGCATGTAGCTTCACAAGTGATGCTACAGCCTATGAGTAGCAGAAGAGGGAGAAGCGTGGAGCAGCTTCCTCGTGGCCGTCATCAGCCTGCGGGGACCCTCAGCTCTGGACCAAGCACAGGAACTCGGACCAAGCACAGGAACTGATTGTGGGTCTGGGGACACGGTTCTGCTGCACGCAGGGCTGGTGAGTGGGAGTGCGTCGGGCTGCCGGGAAACTTCTTGGACCAAGCACAGGAACTGAATGTGGGTCCGGGAACACGGTTCTGCTGCACGCAGGGCTGGTGAGTGGGAGTGCGTCGGGCTGCCGGGAAACTTCTATTTCCCAGTAAATGACCAAAAAATCTGGATGCACAAGAAATGTAGCTCATTCTAACGCCGACTTCTAAGCATCATTACTGAACATATCGTACATTAATTTGTTGCTTCCTGAGTAAAATGTACATGAAATTTCTCCAATAGCTATTCACAATCCAGCCAGAATCACTCCCCCATGTTTTGTTTCTAAGCATTTCAAAGCCTCCTTCATTCACATGTGTAGATCTAGCCTTTTGCTCCACATTTATGAACAAAATCCGCCCGCTCCACTGCTCGGATCAACGCAGGGCCCTTGGTGCACATGTACCCACCCCGACGGCCTCCCCTGCACCCCTCGCCTCACTTCTGACTGTCTCCAGCTCACTCCAGCCACAAGTGCTTGTTTTCACTTCAGCGTCTCTCTCTGTCTCTCTCTTTTCTCCCCCATGGTTGACTCCACCCCAACACTCAGAAATCCCAAAAAAGCAGCCGGGAACTGCTGCGGAATCCCCAACAATGCCGTCTTGTTGCCTCCTCTCCTGCTGCGGGGAAGCACGAGACGTGTTTGATTTCTTGTGCAGTGTCGTGATTTCACATGTGCCCTCAGCCCCAGCTCCTCCCCGCTCTCTCCCACGAGAGGAGCATGGCTTGGGTCAGTGGGGGCTGTGCTGTTGCCTTTCCTGAATTGTTTCAGTGAGACTTGCCAAAATTCACTGCAAAGATCTGCTCCCTTGTTGGATAACGGGAAGCAGCAAGAGGGATGAATTGTTAAAGGGTTGTGTCACACACAACACTGGGGCTCAGGAGGATGTGAAGAGACTTGAGCCAAGCAGAGCTTTTTGCTCCAGGAGGACCCATGAACCTGTCTGTTAACCTGTGAATGGCAAAGCGAAAAGGGCTGTAAACAAGCGACAGGCTTGTTTATGTCCCTACCTGGATGTTTCTCCCTTTACGCCCAATAGAAACCCTGCTAATTCTTTTTAAAAAAGGGAAAGAGATTCGTTTATAGAAAACCTTTTTACCATTTATTTCCTGTTATTAATCTTTAAAGTATAAAAATGATGCTCTAGCTAAATGCAGGGTTTCAGTGGAGAAATTCTGACCACGTAAACAAATAAATAAGTATTTACAGTCTTTGGCAAAACAAATGAAGTTTTATCAACCTATACGAGAAGTTTGTTTAAAAAAACATAAATAATTTACAAGAAATATAGTACATTCTAAATATTCACATCGTAATCCCCACACCATTGTGTTGCCTGACCAAACAACACCAGAACAGAAAACCTGCACGCTCTTTACAATTGTTACATTTAATGAAGTCTCCCAACCCTTCATTGGTCTTGGGAATACAGTTCCATAAAGAAAGCAGAAAGTGCAGCAAAACAAAAGAAAAAGAAAATCAACCTCAAAGGAAGCAACCAAAATAATTTTATCAAAATGAAATGTGTAAATTAAGTCAAAAGTTATGGATCCTTTCTATTTGCCGCAGAAATGTGATCACTCTTAATAGAAAGGGGAGAAAGATTTGCCCCATATCAGACAGACAACACAAACTTCTCTCATTAAAACCCTTATGTGGATTGGGATGAACTGTTTCCTGCAGAAAGATCATGCAACTTCAAGCAAAAAGTAAATCAAACTTGTGTATATTACTGTGTGACTGGCTATTGGGTGTGTCTGGCAAGACTAAATGCTGATTTTTCTCCAGCACTGAAATAAAAAAAAAAAGAAAATCCTATATACAGCAGATAGATAAGAGTAAAAAATGTTGAACTAAAATCACTGGCAATGGTATATATGAAGGTTCCATTATAAACTCTTCATTATTATTTATTAGTCCTATTCCATTTACAGCATGCTTTATCATGACAACAGAATACCATAAAACCTTGTATTCTGACAGGCAGACATGTTGCTGTAACTGTATCTTTATATTATTCTATACTTGTTATATGTTCATTTCTAAAAATTATACTTCATATGTCACTTGGTATATTTAAAATAAGTTATGATGAATCGAGCTGAATTCTATATTCATTTAATAAATATTAACAAAACATTTATAACTGGAACCTTAATGAAGTGTGTTACCAAATTAGGTAAAAGCAACTTTTCCACAGTTTCTAAAGCCTAGAATAAAAATTAGATGTCAAAGTGCATTTGCTAATTTGCCTGCTGTCTGTGCTCCAGTAGCAGAGATTGGGTACCAAGCACAACAAAAAAATCAGAGATGAGAATGCAAACTCAGACGACAGCTGGCTGGGAGCTCTCTGAAAGCTACAGCCACGGGAGCGGCCAGCTTATGCAAAGCCACTCAGCCTGTTAAACTTTCACTCACACGCGGCTCCGCCAAGTCCACATCTGGAACCACACTGGATCCATTTTGCAAGGATATTCCTTCTTTGATAAAACTACATCTCTACCAAATATGACGGCTTTCACTGTAGGACAGAGGAGAATGGAGGACAAGGTATTTGTTTATCTTGTAATTATGGTCTATGTTCCAATGGGTTAATTGATATCTTACATCATTTGACATCGGGCCACAGTCTCGCAAGAGTATTAACTTCTACCCTCCTCCCTCCTATGGCATTACTTCAGACTTGGGTTGACCCTTCTTTATAAGTGACCTAACAGGATTTGCGTGTGATTGCAGAACAGTTCTAATCCAAGAACAGTGAAGACTTTAGGCACCGTTAAGTAGTTTAGCAACGTTTTCGTGCTTAATTTATGGCAATGGCTTATGCACAGTATGCCCTTCAACTCCATATACACATAAATACAAGTAATTACATTTTATATGTAAACGTCATTCTTTTTAAACAAATGAGAAAAAGCAACGTAATGCCAAGCCCAACTCTCACTCCACATGAAGTCTCATGTGTCACCAAATGTTTTCCTGTAGTGGTTGGTATTCATCTTTGGGTTCCATTAATATTTATCCGCTGAAGGCACTTGGGCTTGGGGCTGATGGCAGGAAGAGAAGAAC